AATCTTGTGTTTATAATAGTTCTAGTAAACATAGTATAAAATAAAATACGTTTTCGATTTGTGTAAGATAAAATATATAGTAAAATCATTAAATCACGGACCTCCAGTACAAAAACCTCGATAATATCGTTAACTAGGCCTATTTACGAACAATTTGGAAACTAGGTAAGTAGGATTATTTGCTATAAAATTGTAGAATCGTATTTGTTTTCTTAAAATAAATATTCCATGTCACAAAATCTTACACATAGAAGGTTTAATGAAAATTTATGAAGAGAAAATTCGTTTGGTCTTAGCGTAATAATTAAGCTGAATGACTCCTACCGACAAAATCTTTTATATATTCGTTTTAATTATTCGGCAGTTTCGAGTTGGAGAGAAATATCTTTTAACCATCAATAATTACCCATATCGATAGTTAATTTAAAAACCTAAGACAATTTATAGTTCATGATAGAAACCATTATCAAGATCAGGAATATATATTTTAGTGCTTTGATGCCTACAACAAGTAGAACAATGTTAAAGCTAATTAATTGGTACTTCATATGAGCTTTAGTATGTAATAAACCCGATCAATCGCTAGTCTGTATAATTACGGCATAGTGTTTTGGTGTTAAGCTATTAGGTCGTTAGTGTGTCAGTTTACAAGTTAATTGGTTCAACAAACCAACAGTTACAAATCCTTTGTAAGGTATTAGGCAGTACTACTTTTTTTAAAGATTATTACGACATTCAAAAGGGGTCTTACCTTGGGAATTTTCCGTTTTTAAGTAAATAAATACTGCTTTAAAGGGTTAGTATTGTAGAAAGATAGTGTATTTGTTATTCATACAGCAATCACCAGTTCCAAGTATTATCTTAACACGATACAGATTGTCATTCTTAATCATGACCAATTGTCGTAAACATTAAGTTAAACACTATAATATTAATACCGGTTGATAATACAGTGAAATCAACACTTACTTACCACAAAAATTATTTGATTATAATAATGTCCAAAGTTATACTATTTAACGAAATAATCTCATTACTTGTTAAATATTTATGAAATAAATAATCGTAATACATTTGTTTACAAACATATTGAATTATTCAAAGTTGGCATTGTAACGCTTCTGAAAACTAACATTCAAAAATGTTTGTTGAAACAACAGACTTGAAAAATATTCTCAAACTAGTTACTTCCTTAATGTTGTAATGTTTAATTTATGAAGTCTGTATAGTCCATAGATTTTTTTGGTTGTTTGAAATTGGTGCCCTATGAAATGATAATGATAATTATGCGTAAATGATGTTAATGAAATAAGGCTAAGCTAAGAATGTGGTGGGAAATGGTGATATGCATATAGTGGGAAAGTTCGTAAAATATTCGCTGAAGTCTGACTTACTTCTAAACTACAAGTAATTCAACCAGAATGTAGAACTTGGTCTAATTCAGGTAACCACCTTCTTACCAAGTTAAGCGATGTGGTTTCAACTTTAAACACCTTGAGTTGTGGTTATTTTATCAAGGGAATTTTTAACTCTACACTATGATAAATATTTAAATAATGATGTTTGTCATAATATTAGTATTTGATCGACCAATTGGTTTCGATGCATTACAAGAGGTTATGGGGGAGAGGGAGGTATCCGGGAACTCAAAGGACTCTCGACGGAGGCTGAGGTACCCTTTCTATATCCCTTCCTGATATCCAGAATGCCAAACGGAGATTAACGAATGGCAGTCGCTGAAATGTGGGAGGGCCAAGATGCCAGGTATTTGTAAAGGTTGTAAAAATGTTTGAATTATGTTTATTTGTTGAATGAATACAGTATGTTCGTGCATGAGACTCGATGCTTGAGATTATTTCAATAAATATTATCATAGAACTAAAAAAAAACCAAATAATTACAAAGAATTTGTAGAATTTGTTTTTGTTTATGTTTTTGTTTGTGGCTGTATAATGAAAAAAACTATAGTCAAATTGGTGACCTGTTACGTTATAAATAGCCTCATCACTCAGTTAAAAATTGTTTTGATAACCTCAATTAATTAAAATGTCACTTACAACTAATTTTCTTACATTTCCAAATGTATGTAGAATGTTAATTTGGGTTAAAAGGTGGTTTGGTTTGTTTGAGATACCTCTAGCCCGGACACCCTGTATTATAAAGGTACTACAGATTGCCTGTGTGTATACAATTTTATAAACAAAAACTGTTGCAAACATTTGAAAACATAAAATAAACTGTGCCAAAGGTAAAATAAATAAATAGCACCATTTCTGTATAACTTGTTCTGGGCTACAGTAGTTTTGTTTATGAAATATCGTGTTTTGCTAACGTTTCTTACACTAAGTATAAAAGTAATTATAAAATTAATAATAAAATAATAAAATTGCTAATTATAAAAGTATAACAAAATTACTACAAACTACCTTATCCTTAATTTCTGTATTTCTAATAATTTGAGTTTGATTTTTTTTTGTTTTACGTAAATACAAGCCATTTCATAAATTAAAGGATTTTTTCATATTATCATTAAAATCGTTGAGCCTTTTTTAAAGAATTCAACTTAAAGTAATTAAATGTTAAATTAAATGTAGCCGCAAATACAAAACATTTATCCTTGAACGCGTCCTTTTATATTTGAAAAGCACTATTATATAGCACCTAGTTTGTATATAATTGTGAGAATAATAAAACTACTTTGAAAAAGTCAAAACTAGAGTCAAGAGTCAAGATTTGGGGTAAAAGCAATAAGAAATAACGAATAAAAAAGCCCAAAGGAAATACTGTCATAACAAAGGAAAATTACTATTACTAACTAAGAGTTATAAAATAAACTGAAATAAAACAATCCTTAAAACAATAGGTTGAGTCATAAAGCTATAATAATTTCCTTAGCACTTTAATTAAAGAATTGAGTAGGGTATATAATTTTATAAAACTAGGTTTTTCTTAACAATAATAATAAAATAGAATCACGTCTATAGAACATTAAAGTTTACATAGCCTATACAAAAGTCAACTTCTAGTTATTCAAAGTAGATATTGATTGGGAAGTAATTAGTACAGTAATTGGCTGTGCACCATATTTTGCCACGATGTTTGATCTAAGGCACTGATTGATAGCAATTATCTGATACAATAGACCGTAGACAAACACAACTCAGTTTTATATTTATATTGACATCAGTGTTGAGTCAAGTTGACATTCACTACAATGGACTGATTGGAAATGTGTAATGTTGTTTACTTTAGAGTAGTTTGCATCAGTATGCTTCTAAATGTATATAACAAATTAACAGTAAAAACTAATCGTGTTATATATGGTTTGAATAAATTATAATGATTTCTTCTTATTAAAATTAATGTATTATGCAATCAGAAGTTGACTTACTTCTAATAAAACTTTGCCAAAGATACAAAACCTCAGAGAATGAACCAATACTGGAGAAAAACACTTCAAAGGCCTTTGTCATCAACTTAGTGACTTGTAGCCTTAATGTATTGACACAAACGACTGATAACGGCTTTGGGACAGTAGAAACGTTTTGTACTACCAAGTTTGGTCTCAAAGGTAAGACCAAAGTTTAGTGTCTGCGGGCGTAATAGTTGGCGAAGTAGAGTAAGTAACCTATAGAAGTAAGAAAAAAATAGTGGTAAATTGACGGTAAATGTAAATTATTCAAACACATGTTTTTGTAAGGCCAACAATAGTTTGAAAAACTCAATATTTCTGCTTATTGAAATAAATATTGTGTAAAAATCCTTGATCAACAAAAAATATGTGTGATATTAGATTTCTAAAGATGTATAGATAACTATCTCAGAGCTAGTTAAAAGGTGTCGTTTTACTGTAAAAGATTTGATTTATTCGTTCGTAAATTTGAGTATGAGTACAGTTGGCTTTTTTGGTGTGATGGACTATCTGTGAAAATTAACATACAAAAGTTGACTTTATCCTCACTCTACTTTTATAAAATCACTTGACCATTTGAGTGACGTATTTTTGAGTGATAGAAACGTCATTCTTAACTCAAAATTGCCTAATAAATAAGTTAACAATTATTGTCTTCAAATTACAAGTGGTTGCTTTGAAAATAATAAATTAACAGAGCCAATATTAGTATAGGAGTGAATTTTCTCGTAAATTTAATACTGTCAATCATCATTTTAAAAGAATAACGTGGCTGTTGTGACCGTTATACACATAATGTTAGAACTTACTTAACATATAGATGTTGACCTATTTCAAGTATTTGGCTAGAGTTAAATCTCTCCAAATAAGAAGAGACATTTTGACCTATTTAAATAATAATTTACAGCTTAATTGTATTCGAATTAGTTCATTTATGTAATCACATAAGTTCATCAGTTATAAGACAGGCTAACATTATGCGGTAGGTCTAGAAGGCAAGAGGTAGGTTTATAAAATTCAATAAATGCTGAATGTGTTATAATAAATTACACAATTAAACTTACAGTATTTTTTATTATTTTTTAAATGAAAGTTCAATATTAAGTAATTACAACACGACTGTTAGTAAAAATGTATGTGCCATTTTGTTTGTTTTTATTCAACCTTCAATTTTAACGGGCAAGAAAACATAATCGTACTACAGACCATTTTCCATTTTCCGTTGTCTGGTTCATTGTCTTAAGCCCAGAATTACCCTAATCGGTACCAGCTAGAAAAACCCAACACAACTTATGTTGCAAAAAAATAAAACTACAATTTCCATTATTGGATAGATTCTTGGCCGCGATTGAAAATCGTACGATAGTAAACATTGAAATTTACTTAAATAATAAGTAATGGGACTCCGATTTTGACATTTATTTTACAAACACTTGTTTTATTGAATTTCTAATTTTGAAAATGGCTTTTTGGAAATCCTTTATTCTTATGTCAAAGGTATATTTTTTATACAATAATATGTGTTTAATACGATTCGCAGCAGTTTCAAAACGTTATAAATAACAATTATTTTCTTTCTGTGTTTCAGATCGGCCTCATTTTACCGGTTGGAGTTAAAGGTAAGAGAATCCCTACTTTGTATATAAAATATGACCTACATGTAGCTAACCAATGGCGACCGTTGTTAAAAATATAAACACCATTACACATTATTTATTATGTTTTTATAAACAACTGTTAAATATTTTTAGTAGTCTTTTTCGATGAAATGATTCATTACATATAAATTATGTGTCGCGTAGTAGACCATATTATAACATTTCACCTGATTACTGTGATTGCAGTTTAATTAATATCAATTTGTTGCGTTTTCTAGCCTATGTGATCTTAAGACTTTATGCTGTACAGCTTTAGATAAAGAAACTAGTTTACAACCATCATGGAAATAAGTTACAATTTTATTTGATTTTGATTTGTTACATAACACAACTTAAATAACTAAATGTAACCTTAATTAAGAAAAAAGTAGGTTTAACATTTAAAATGATTAACGGTGATTTTTGACAAAAAATTCTAAGAGTTACTTAAAATATGTATATAGCTCAAGTACTCTTCCAATGGAGTGAAGATTCTCAGTTCGATTTAATATAAAACCGTTACAACAAAGCTTTCAAGTCCAGCGTTCTTTGCTCATTCCTCTACCGTTCTAGTTCACATACAAAGGTCTCATATAAAGCACATTTGTACTCCAGAATGTCATGTCTTACAAGTTTTAACTTTTAGGGTTGTATATGAAAATGGAAAGCTGACAAAATGCTTTGACCTTATATTCATCTTCGTAAGAATGGTTGTATCTGTTTAATAGTTTAAACTTTATTATATTACCGATTAAAGGAACTGATTACTTTATAAGGTTATAATAACCACTTAAAAAAGCCAAAATACTACTAAGATATGTCACGCTAGAACTAGATGTGTTTCTAAAACATACATTTCAACAGATCTACAAAAGAGTAACACAATCACATGTAAGTTGATTAAACGACAAAACCGTATTTCCATTTTTGTAATTGACATTATAATTGCAATGTCCCACGGCATTATTTTAATGGAATGAAATCAGTGTGTATATTTTTATTTAGTGATATTGTTTCTGTGCTTATAGATTAAAATTATTATGTAAACACCATTGAGAATCAAACTATATCTTTAATGAAAACTGCATGCTCATGGTTTTTTTTCGTTGAGTAAATACTAAAATAATAAAGGTTACGTATACAATAAACAAGATTGGAAATATTTTACTATCTCATAATGTTGTAATAGTTACTCGCTTTTACAATGCCAGTACTATTAAAAAAAAAATTCAAACTTACCTAGTGCTGTTTAAATCAATGGGTAAAGCCCATTGTAAAGCCATTGTTGTAGTTATTACAATGTGTGTTAAATAGTAGTAGTAGTGTTAAATATTCAGCTAAATTCAGGATACTATGAACGTTTGTTGCTTTCTATTTATAACTAAAGATTTGTCAATATAATTTGAAGAAAAGTGTACATTTTACTCATATAGCATCCGTTTGTTAAGGGGTGTTTGTAGCTTTATCATAATTTCAAATACTTCGTAGCGTTCCCAAACAAGTATTCTATCACAGGACCTAAACACGTTGTGGGAGTAGAGTGGAGAAAAGAGAGTGTTTTCGTGCAATGTCGTCTGCTTTCTACTTTCAAAGACAAATATCTTTGTACACTAGTTAGTCAGATTTATAAATTGCATCAAAATAATAACTATACTGCGTCAATGTTTAAAATATTAAAACTAACATTCATAATAATACAGCTCCATAGTTGTTTTTACCAAAATCGTATATAAGCCCCTTTTCTGACTTAACTCTTTGTGAAATTGGCTGCCAATCAACAAGATTTACACTTCAATTGACCATCATAATCTACAATCTTTCAACATCGGTTTAAAAAGACAATCTTCTCATCAAATATACATTTTTAGTAAGGTGACTTTTTTATGTAAAAGAAACACTAATATCAAAACTAAACAGTATCTTAAGGCTTTCGTAAGTGTTAACGACTTTGTGAAACATTGTTATGATTTAGATTACCTTTTTGTTTGAGCACAAAATCATATTATAAATGTAGCAGGTTATAAGATTTTTTATGAATGCAATGGAATGATTTATATTTTGGTAGTCCATCTGTAAACCAGGTTTTTTGAACTGTTGAAATATTTCATTTTGCATTGCATTCTTACACATCCCTAATTTAAAGGTGAACAAGGAACGAGTCCTAAAACTGATGTGGAACATTGTTAAAACTATCTCAGTTCAAAGTATTTTGATAATAAGTTAAGAGAACTAGAAACAAGTTCACCTTGAATGATTAAATTTCATTGCTCTCTTAAAATAAAATCATCTCCACAAAAATGATAACTGTGCAGAAGTCAGAGGTAAAAGTAGGAACTATATTGGAAATGCTGGGACAAGAGAGACTAAACTGCCTTTGGCGAATAGCTTCTGGAACTGATTCGATGAAGTGAAGAACTCTTTGAGACTATTGTACGAACCTACTGCTTTATTTGTAGTAGACATTTTGATTAAATTAAACTATTACGATATATAGTTATTTCAATCAATTTGCTATAACTTTCAGTAATAAATCAACATATTTGTCTTACCATGATTTATCATTACCAAAAACGAGACAAATATGTTAATAGCTGATAAATATTTCGCCAAGGATCAATGGATGAAAGTAGTTTGGTTCATAATTGGTACTGCTTGTATCAAAAAAGTGTTGAAATCCTGAAATGGCTTCCTTTTTTCAAGTTTGAAAGGTATATTATACCATTAACCTTTTCCAAAACACTATTTGTTCCAATTTTTATATGTTTATATCTTCATATATCTGTGTCCGTTTACAACTGAACACGATAAATAAAGCAACGTTTGTTTGATTATAATAACATTTAATATAAATGTGTAGAGCTAGATACACTTATTTATTTAACTGGCAAAATAAGTTAAGCAAATAATATGTTGTAAACATTTGACGGAAAAGATATTTTATAAATTTAACTTTACATTCAGGAAACACTTTATTCACATTTAATCATGTTTTTATGCCCTTAAAAACCAATTGTTTTGTAAATTGAAGTGTTGTTGTACCATTAAAGGTTAAGGAAAGAAGGAAAAAACTCCACTTTATACTTCGCACGTAACTTTTATGATCAGCAAATCTAACCGCTTGACCAGTATATCATCATTGTTACATAAATAGTTACATGAGCATTGTTTACGTAAATAATTTGTTATGCAACCAGTCACACAAATGGAAATAACCTTTTAAAGAGTACTTTAGAGTTTTGATGTGGCAAGGGCATTTTAATATTGTAGCAATTTTTGAAACTATAAGATTTAGCTTTAATTCACATTTTCACCTCAAATTTTAGGGAAATTAGTTCTCGTAAAAAGCTAACTTGTCTGACATGACAAAATAATGTTATCTAAGTTGAACAAATAAAATATTGACAGCCCATAATAATGCAAATTATGTTGATGTAAATATGTAAATGAGTAGACTAGTATTGTGTTAGCTGAAATTAATATAACATATATATTTGTTTGAAAAAATATTATACTTAATGTAGAGTATGGAAGAGCACTTAACCTGTTAGCTTTACGTTTAAGTGGAATGCTTACTTTAGTCATAAAACAACTCAAGTCTGTTCAAACATTATGTTGTATCTAAGAGAAATGTATTGCGATACAAATTATCTCTTTACATGGAATATAACACTGTAAAGTTATTGAGTAATATCTGATTAATGCTAAATACTGCTAAATTATAATGAATTACATAATACGTCTCAAACAAGTTTATTTTAGTTATACGTTTGATTTATGTTACCTTTATAACGATACCCATCCAAAATTTTTGATTTTGTATACAAACAAATATTTTCACAACAATCAAAATTTGATCCATTATTGTTTTGTAAATTCCACAAATCCTTGGTAAAGTCTAACTTATTTCAAACTCTTGGTTGAATTAGGAGACAACTTCAACATTATTATATGACTGATTTGCTTATTACAATTTAAGATACACCCTTTTATATTCCGTGGTCATACCAACGTAAGCAGAAAAAGGTATTTTTTAACTGGTCAAATATTTGAATATTCCCAATAATGACTCATCACATAATATTTTTATTACCAAAACAGATTGATATGCATCTGGGCTTATTTTAACCAAGATATAAATTGATCGTATTTAGAATTGAGTTAAATATCTCTTTAAGGCTTATTACTTACTAAGACCAGATGTTTCATCAGGCAGGGTCATTTATTACAAGCCGATAATGAAGATAGCTGGGCCTAGTTTCAGTCCATCAAAAAGCTATTGCCAATTTCTTAAGATAAACTGGCGAATTTTCATTACAAGTAAAAACATATCACCAACAGCCTATTAGGCTTATTGCAGAGGATGAATTAATGCTTTTGATATTTACATTTATCTTAGTTTTTTTTTTAGTTTAATATTATTATCTTTTAAGAGTCAATATTTATGATGGCATTTTACTAAATTGGTTCTTTTAGCTTTCGATGTAAATAGCTAAGGGATCCGTTTATAAAATATTAAATCTATTATGATGTTTTATGTGTTGATTATCAAGAGATTTTTTGAGGTCTCTTTCGTTGAATTACTTAAGATTTTATTGGAAAAGAATTCCTAAAAAAATGCACGGATGGTAATAAAAGTAAGTTAAAGACGTAAAAGAACCTATATAACATTCATGATTATTAGTTGCATGTAAACTATGACATTGTTTTCATAATATACTAGGCCACCCTCGTATTATTGTTGATTTTGTGTAGTGCTTTTATCAGGCATAATACCAATTTACTAGTTTTGGTATGCGAAATTGAATTAATCTAAGAACTTATCTCAAGCCACCATTCAGCGTGAACGCTAATGTGACAAGTCGCCTCGTGTATCCCAAGTTGAGCGTGAGCAATGTAGATCCTGAGAGTGAGTCAGATGCTCACTTGGCTATATAAGGGAAAGTCACGCAAGCCTTGTTTACTGTTATAGGATACAAAACAAG